TTGGTAACACAGTCTTCCATGATAGAACAAAACATATTGAAGTGGATAAGCATTTTTTTAGAGAAAAACTTGTGAGTGGAGAAGTGTGCACTCCATATGTCAGCTCAGAGGAACAACTTGTAAGCTTCTTCACCAAGGCCCTTCATCATGTGCGGCATGATAATTTGTGTAACAAGTTGGGCATGACTGACATCTATATCCCAACTTGAGGGGGAGTGTTGGAATGTTTACATTATGTTTTTATTCTGCTTAGTGAGGATCAGTTTGGTCTAGTTAAAATAGCTTTTTTTACCTTTGTTAATGTACTTTAACTATAGAAGGGGCATAAGTGTCTTTTCCCCTTTAATTATGGTCGTCCTTTATATAATAGCATAAGCTGTCACCTCCAAACAGATTAGAACTCTCCAAGCACTTCCTCTTCTCTTCTCCTAGTGCTACCTAATGTAGACGCAAAAGAGGTAGGAGTAGGGCCAAAATCCATCTAGCGAAATGCCCTACCATATAACTCCAAATGGTCACAAAAAGAGTTGATAATCTCTTCCTTGGGGTCAGAACTAGACTACCGCTCCTGAGGTACCATGGGATTAGTCTCTTGAGATGCCACATTTGTTGAATTATATTTCTTCTGATTTTGCTGGGCTGGCTTCTTACTCTAATCAGACGCTGATTTCTTACTTAATTCCTAAGCCCGTTTAGGCTTGCCATGGAGGTCCCAACATGTGTCTTTATTGTGCTTGGACTTTTGACAATCAATGCACCAAAGCTTGTCTTTGTTGTTCACTCTCTTCTGTGAACCGCCCTTCTTAAAAGAGCCTCTCACATTTGAATTTGTACCTCTTCGGACTGCTAGTGCAACCTGCTCCCCCTTTGCACAATTCATCACACTTCTTCTACTCTCTTCAGACTGAACTAAGGCAAAAACTTCCTTAACTGTAGGCAAGTCCTTACTTCCCAAGATTTGTACCCTAATAGACTCATATATAGGACTCAAACCCAAAAGAAAAGCAATTACTTGTTGTTGGGAGACAAGTGACTTATAGGCCTTTGCATCTTCATCACATTTCCAATTCACATTTTGATAATGATCCAGTTCCTTCCAGATTGATGTCAGATCCAAGTAGTACACTGAAAGACTTCTCTCCCCTGCTTGCAAGTGGAGGATTCAGCTTGCAATTGGTATATCTTTGCATAATGCCTCTGTTCTGAATAAGTAGATTTTGCTTGTTCCCATATTTCACAAGCTGTTTCAGCCCACATAAACGTCTTCCTTACTTGTGGCAGCATGGAAACCAAGAGCCACCTATCATGTTCAGCACTTCCAGTCTTTGGTTCCTTCACTTTACCAGTAATATACTCTATTTTCCCCTGGCAATAATGTAGAGTTTAATTCCCCTAGACCATTCAAGGTAGTTTAGTCCATCAAAGGGAATTATAGCCATGGGGAAACTCATATCCATCCCTTCACTCATTCCATTTTGACCTCCTACAACCCCAGAAGTTGCAGAATTCTCAAAGGACATGATTCAAAACACTATTCAATTTCAACACACACCTTAAGATCCCTCTTGACACCCAAAAAAGTCCTAGAAACACACCAGAGATACAGTCCACATGCACACACTCTGATCTGCACACAATCTGAACACAGACCAGATTCAATTCTCCAAAAAAAAAAGGTTGATTTCAGCACTGCACAGGTTTAACAGTCATAGTCCACCAATTTCCAGTTCATCTAAACACACCAACTACCAGGAGAGACCATAAAACTGTGTAGTCACACCAAAAACAGGGAAAAACAGGTCATTTGTGACCTACAGGTATCCCATTCTCAGGTACAAGATCACACTAGGGCTGTCAACGGGTTGGGTCTGGGTTGGAACCAGCTGGAACCAGAACCAACCCAACATGAAATGTTGAGGACCCAGACCTGGACCCGATAGGGTCTGTAATTTTTGGACCCGGAACCGAATCGATAAGTTCTCAGGACAATCGGGTCTTACCCGACAGACCCTATTATAATAAATAAAAAACAAATATCTATGTTTAATATATATTAAATATTATATGTATTATACTATGTTATATGTATAGTATATATATTATATAATATTTAAATAAATAAATTATAAATATATTATACACCGGGTCGGGACTAGGTGGAACCGGTCCCAAACTGATAGTAATCGGGATCCTATATCAGGACCTGGAACCGACCTGACGGTTCCAATTCTCGGAACCAGAACCAAACCCAATAGGTTTGGGTCCATCGGGACAGACCCGACCCATTGACAGCCCTAGATCACACGATCCACAGAAAAGAGGTCTGAACCTCACAATTCCTCTGACAGCATTCAGCAGTCTTGCTTCATAAGTTTTTTCTTGGTACACAACCAAGAGAAAAGAAAAAAAAAAGGTAAAGTAAACTTGTACCAGTCATAGGTCAACTTCTCTGGTCTCAGTTTGGAGAAGACAGCAAGATAAAGAAGAAAGAACTTGTTCAATCTGCTCTCAAACCCTGTAGAACTTGGCTCTGATACCATATTAGCAGAGAATAAGAGAAATAAGGAAGAAGAAGATAAGAGAGAGAGAAGAGAGAAGGAAGAAGAGAAGAGGAAGTGTTTGGAGAGTTCTAATCTGTCTGGCAGCACCAGCTTATGTTATTATATAGGGCGACCATAATTAAAAGGGAAAAGACCCTTATGCCCCTACTGTAGTTAAAGTACATAAACAGAGATAAAAAACCTATTTTAACCAGACCAAACTGACCCTAACTAAGCAGAATAAAAACATAAATGTAAAGTAAACATTCCAACAGATACTTGCCTTACAATCCTTTGATAACTTCTCTAAAGCCTTAACAAAGAATCTGGTCAAAGACTTGCTTGTTGGTCCATAAATTGGATGTAAGTAGTTAAATTTACGTGTTAGATCACATGATTGTGGTCTCTCTGGATAGATTGCTGAATAAGATTTCTTTGGCTCCAAAACCAAGGCAGTTGGACATGTTTTAACATATAAAACTAAGGATCAATTAAAATGACAAGGTGATGACTCATAGAACACCGACCTTGATCCCATGATTTTTAGCCTCTTTCTTTTTCTTTTATATTTTGATGCTTTTCATCTTTGTTACTGGACTGTTGAACAAAAAACCAGTGAATCTTTGGAAGTTAGAAATGCAGAACCATCTGACCCAAACTTTAGATGTCCCTTATTGCTAAACCTGTTCCTTTCATGTGTCAAGTGGGTTAGTTTAATTTTAAGTTCATCTGGGTTGGATTCAGGTCTTCTCCAATCATTCCAAATCTGACATGTTACCAATCTAGATAAATGATACACATTATTTTATTTTTACTAGTAATGTGTACATGCTTTGCATGTGGCAATTTTAGATGATGATAGTAATACTGTGTCCAAAATTTTCTACATTTTTTCATTTTTATATGTGTATAAAAATACAAGGTTCAAATCTTGGAAACAGCCTCTGTGTGTGCAGGGGTAAGGCTGCATACATCTGTCCCTCCCCAGACCCTGCATTGGTGGGAGCTGTGCACTAGGCTGCCCTATATGTGTATAAAAATAATTCTTGTTTATTGCACTTATTTTTGTTAAATATGATGAATATGTAATGTTAGAGATGCCAAATGCTTTCTACACAATTTATGTATTTTTTGTCTTTTCTATTTTTTAAATTTTATTATTTAACTATGGCATCATGTGTTGATCCATTTGACCCGGATGTTTGAATTGCTTACCACTGGACGGAATAACGGTTTTGTTTTGGGGCAGTTAAAAATCATGAGTTTTATATTGTTAAAAGTATTGATATGGATCTAATTAATAGAATTTATTGGTCCCTAGGAATCCAGACCATCTTCACATTCATTGAGACTAAGATATCCCCAGCTTCAGCTATCAAGTGTGAATTGTGCTAGTCTCCAGGGCCCTCCTTCCTTCCCCCTTAACCACGCAATACTATTTGCAGAATCCCCTTTAATGGTTAAAGAGGATAAACCTAGTCGTTTGACAAAGTGAATTCCTGTAAGTGCAGCCAAGACCTCTGTCTTTGTAGCATCTGCCCTCCCAATCGGAGCACTATAAACCCAGCAGATATTCCCCCTTCCCCTAGGATTACACCTCCAATTTCTGCTTGACCTTAGAGACATGGGCATTACCATCATAGTTTAGAGTCATAACTCCTCTAAAAAAATGTCTCATAATGAACTCAGATCTTAGAGTCAACACTGTTGCTGATAGCCTAGCAAAATCAGAGGTTTTTAGAGAAAGCTTGTTTAGTGATAGTTGTTTGCCTTTGCCACTCTAGGCTTCAGTACATCCTCTCATGTACTTCCTCTTTTGTTTTCAATAAAAGTTATCTTTGCTCAAAAAAAAAACAGAATTTATTGGTGAGAAAATAAATTCTATTAACTAGAACAGATTAGCGAAACAGGAGTCATGTAGCCACCCCCTATAGTTGGGATAAGGCATGATGATGATGATGATGATGATTGGTGAAAAAATAAAACCTATAGGATTTAATGAGAGAGAATGGGAGTTGATACCTTAAGGCTCAGTTTGGAAGGAGTACAAATACAAACATGTGCAGTGCAAATACATACAAAATAATACAAAAAAACAAGGTTTTGCACTCTACATATTTGTATTTGTACTCCTTCCAAATTGAGCCTAAATCTCAGACTTAATGAGAGGGAATTAAATAAGGTGAAAAGTAGTAGTTTAAATTACATTTCCATCCCTCACAATCAAAGAGAGACTAAATTCAAAAATAGGGGTATTTTAGTCAAGAATAAAAGTTTCATACCCTCATTCATACTTTTAATAGTAGTATAGATAAGTGTACATTACTGCATGGACTAAATACTGATTCTCATATTTTTCTCATGTACAAAGTTGTATGTTATACATGCTTTTTCACTCCAACCAAGTATCAGTACTAGCATATTCTTACAATTTCTTTGGGTTTATTATCTGATCTCCAGGGATCAGTATGTGTTGTTAATGCAGCTAGTGAAAAAGATATGGCTGTATTTGCAGCAGGAATGATCCAGGCAAGACATCTGATTGTTAATATATTTCTTTATTGGATTTTTTTTGTTTACTTCCTTTGCTTTATTTGTTAAGAAAACTATTAGTCTTACAGACCAGTTATTAAATTGGCAGGCAGAACTGAAAGGGAAACGTTTCTTATGCCGCACAGCTGCTAGTTTTGTTTCTGCTCGAATTGGAATAAGGCCAAAGGCTCCAATATTGCCAAAAGATATCGGAATCAAGAACGAAAAGAATGGTGGGCTTGTAGTTGTAGGGTCATATGTTCCCAAAACCACCAAACAGGTTGAACCTGTGTTCTTTGACCATTTGTTTCTCCTTTTTGCATTCTTTCCATTCCTTCAACAGTTTTTTATCTGTATCTCCATGCTAGGTGGAATCATGTTTACATTTTTATTTTTGCAGGTTGAGGAGCTTAAATCACAATTAGGTCATATATTAAGAAGCATTGAGGTAATTTAGATTCTATATGTTTTTATCTGTGTTTTGGATCTTACCTATAGAGACTTTTTTTGAGTAAAAGTAGTGATAATTTTTTTTTCAAATCAATTTGAGTTTTCAATCCCTTTTCCATTACTCGTGTCTCCATTAGCAAAACAAAGGATCTAAGTTTTTCACTTTCTTTTCTCCATTTTCCTTTTAGATATCTGTTCATAAACTTGCCATGGGGTCATTAGAAGAGAGAGAGGAGGAGATCAAGCGGACAGCTGAAATGGCTGATGTTTTTCTTAAAGCCCGCAAAGACACTCTAATAATGACCAGCCGGGAGCTCATCAAAGGGAAATGTTGGTCTTCTTTTCCTTTGTCTATTATATTGATTGCTTCAGTTATTTTAACATTGGCACACTTAGTCTTCCACTTGTTCCAGACATGAAAAATAAGAAAGAATACAGATAAAGAAGTTTGTTCAGATGAGAAATCTGGTATAAATTAGAATCATGAGTGAAATGCATTTGCATATAACTGTGACTTGGTGGTACATAATGTCAAGAGAAGCAGTTTGAATGGAAGAAAAAAGAGATATGTACGGGTGTTTCTAACTAATGACATCACCCAGAATCCAGCATTACATATTAAAGTCAAATAGAGCGATAAAGGACCATTCAGTCGTCTTACAAAACCCCAAAGGCCTTTGCCTTGCACATAAATTGGAAGCAACACTTCCATAATGCATAATTAGTTCCATCAAACCTTGTAGATAGAATTTTTCCCTTTTATGAAGCCATTACAGCAATGATAAAAAAAATGAAGTAAAATCACACAATATACTACATGTGACCAATGTAGCAGGATACTTCAACTCGAACAGTAAAATCAAGGAGAAACCCCTTTCAGATCAAGAACAAAGGGAACAGATTAGAGCAACACCTAACCTTAGGTTCCAGTGCAAATAAAGTGATCAATCAGCAGATCTAATACATAACTATATAAAAGGAAACTGAATAGGACCTGACACCACAAATATCGATCATGAAAAGGGATCAAAATCTAAAACATATCTGATCTGAGATCAGATATAACAAGATGGGAAGATTGATCAGGATGGCACTGAATCTTGAATCCCATAGAAAACAGACCACATATCAGGAAGATCAATGGCTATATGTTGAAAACCAGGTACCTCAATTTAAAGAAAAGCTGCAAACTTGGGATGATTGAAACGGCCCCGAAACACTAAAGGAAATTCCCAAAAAAGGGAAAGAAAGAAAGAAACTTAGATCTCCTCCTAAATGTCTTGAACAGTCCATTGATCTCTCACAGGATGGCTTGCTCTGATACCATGCCAAGAACAGTTTGAATAAAAGAAGAAACAGTTCTGTACACGTGTGTCTAACTGACGACAGCACTCAGAGTCCAGAATTACATAATAACATAAAAGAATGATCTAGTATGTACATCTGATGATACAACAGTACACCCAGTCCACAAAAGGTTATAAAAAGATCATAAATTGATGGTTAGCCTGTAGGATCTCTAAACATGACATTATTAAGCAAAGAGATATAAGTAGCATCATATTTTAATTTCAGAAACTTGGATAAGAAAGGAAATACCCATAACATGATAATTGTAATTTAGGCAGTGGGAAGGAAAGACAAAAGAAAGTTGAAAGTTATCGTATAGCCCCACCCACTGTATCCCATTTGTTAGAGAATAAAAAACTATTCAGGGATCTAACCTAACAGCTTAAGCTTTTATGTTGGGTGGTTCCTTAAGATGGGTATTAGAGTCTGTTTGACCAAGTGGTCTAGTGATCAATCCTCATCACCCCCATTATATTTAATTAAATTTCAGCACAAGGTATAGTTGGGCCTGTGCATGTTAGAAAATAAAAACCTATTAAGGAACCTCTCCTTACAGCTTAAGCTTATAGATTGAATGGTTCCTTGAGACGATTCATCTGTTATGTATGTTAAAATGGTCAAACTGCAAAAGATCCCTCACAATCAAGACTTGGGAAGGAAAGGCTGAACATGAATTTCTACAGAATGGATGCAAGTTTTAAGTTGTAGATGAAGGGTCCAAATACATTGTTCTTCAAGATGGAAATAAACCTGATACTCATAAGAAAATGCATTCTCACACTATGTAATTGGATCTGATGATTTTATTTTATTTTTTTTTCTATTTTTCAGCTCCTTCTGAGAGTTTAGAAATTAATTTCAAGGTTAGCTCTGCATTGGTGGAAATTGTTAGACGGATTACTACACGACCTCGTTATATATTGGCAAAGGTAATTTTAATTATAATGTCTTGGCATGACTTTTTCTTCCTTAACTTCTATTAAACAGATAGAAAGTGATCTCTTCTTGTTTCCATTCTGTTTACTTTATTCTTATTTTTACCTTTTATAAACAAGAAAATTTTGTCTTGGTTATTTGCTTGCATATTGTAGAGAACACTGATGTGGGCCCCACAGCTATGGTCCCACTGTGTTCGTAGGGCAGAAGGGTTTCTACTACTTTTCTTCCCTCTTCCTCCTTTTTCTCTTTACCTTTCTTCTTATTTTCGAACCTGAAATCCATTAGGGTTCAAGACTGATAACAGTCCTGAACTTCTACTTGGTATCAGAGCTAGGGTTTCTCATGTGAGTCTAGTCCAGCCGACCAC